CCCCCCCCGGGAGAATCGCGCGGAGACATGCCCCCACGAGCCCGCTCGCTAGCCCAGCAAGGCCCGCTCTCCCCAACGCTTTCACAAAGGAATGTCCACCAAAAAATGTCCACCGTAATTTGGGCCCCTTACCTAGGATGTCCCCTAGGCGATCAGGTCCAATAGGGTAAAATGGCAAATGAAATATAGGCCAATGACTGTCCAAACAGTGCCACAAGGTTTAAGTGATTTTAATGTTGTACGCAATAGCTTCTAGGTACAGCATGAGCTCGTCCCGCTCCTTGTAGTCCTCGTAGTTGTCCGGAAGGCTGTGCAGGCGTCTCTGACACGTCTCATACTTCTTATTGACTGTCTGCTTGACGTTGATATGCCCCGCACGGACTTGGGCGTGCAGATGGTGGAAGTCGTGCTCTTCATCGCGGATCCCATTAAAGAACTTCCAGACATCAGCGTGGTGGACCACTAGCAGCTTCTAAAACTTTCAATGCCAGCCCTCCACATTGTTTTTCCTGGCGGTGTTGTCCACTGCCTGCTGGTGGACGTTCCACAGGGCTGGTGGGAAGCTAGGGGGCACTGCACGCCGCCGACGCAGTGTCGCAACCCGCAGGTAAGTGCTCTCCAGTGTTGTCGCCAGAGGCACGACCCGGTCGTCCATGGCGTCCACCACGGCGTCGAAGGCCGCCTCCAGGTCGGGGATGGGGACGAAGGGGAGCGCCATCAGGCGCTGCACGTCCCTGCGCACTGTGTGGTCCTCGTTCTCGGCGTTGTGGTACAGTACCTTGAGGCCGCTGTCCACCGCCTGGCGCCAGAGTGCCTGGTTGAAGTGGAACAGGCACCCCTTGTGCTCCACCCCAGGGAAGAGTGTCTGCTGTATGTTCATGGCTGCGATCTTAAAGTCCGTCATAAACAGACGGACTTTGAACCGCAGATTGATCCGCTCTGCCTCCCCCTTTATGGCGCCCCAGATCTTCCGGTACGTTGACATGTCCTTCCGGACACACAGGGCGAAGGCAAGTGGGAAGACGTAAGAGCGGCCTGCCACGTCCTTCACCACCCCGTGGACGGTGTAGAGCTGCCCGAACTGGTTTTGGACGGTCTTGAACGTCCCGTCAGCGAAGATGGTCTCGCTCCACGTGAGGACGCGGAGGCTCTCCTCCGAGCATAGCACGATGACACGGTCCGGATCATCAACACCTGAGCATACACGCGCACACACATGTCGTGTCTGCCAATACGATGTGCCGTCGTCCGATTTCCCGAACGTGCCTGACCTGAGTCGTACAGGAGGAAGCGCGTCCCCCTCAGGGTGGTCGTGAACGGAGCGTCCAGGACGATGTCCTGAAGCTCCCGTGGGTTCCTCGGACGCCCCCGGTTTTGATGGTTGTTGATGACCCGGCGCAAGGTGTTCCTCTCGGGGAGCCTCGCGCGCACCTCCGGGCCCGTGACCGCTCCCACAGCAGCACGGAGCAGCTAGTCAATCTCTAATTAGCATACCAAGTACTTGTTGTATCGCGGCGACATGAGGTAGCGAACCTTCTCGCTGGGGTGGATCGTTCGGGTGATCCTCGGCGGCCCGCTTGACTCCCTGCATCGCCATTCTGGTTCCGATGGTTCGGTGGTCGGCCACGTGGTTGATGTGCTGCTCCGTGCCGTCCTTCAGCATTCGCAGGTTTTCAAGGTTTACGTTGGTGTGGCACCGCGCATTGCAGATTTTCCGCTCTACACAGCGCCAGTACTGCTTCTCTCCTTTTCGTGAATGTTGGGAGTACTGGAAGCCCTTGTAGGACAAGAGCTTCTTCACCTTATTAGAGTCGATCAGCTCCGTGGTCCTCCACGTTCCGCGAGGTCCGATGGAGTGGGCCAGCTGGGGTGTGTGGGTGTATCTTGGACGCGGCCCCTACATTGTTGGCCGTGGCAACAGTACCCTATTAACGAGGTCATTTAATTTTCGAAGCCAACATTTATAGGACATTTATCCGAGGACCATATCACGGGTGACGAAAAAACTACGGCCCATGTGGCGAAGGACATTTTTCGGTGGACATTCCTTCGTCGCACCGTTCCCACTCCTTGGCCTTCTTGTGTTTTAGGCCGGCAAGAGGAATAGAGGTTATGACTCTTGGATAAGTTTGAATTGCCGTTGCTTGATCTCTCGTTTAATTGTCAAGATTTGTAGGCCTATTTAATTCCAAGGTTACTAACAACTGCTTTTGTCCTTCAATCTAGGACCTGATCCAGGACCTCCTGATATTAGTGTGGGTGCTGCTTATTCCTCCTTTAATGATGTTGAAAAGGCCATGGCAAGGTATTCCTTGATCAATAGTGTGCCTTATGTCGTCAATGGCAGCAAATTGGTTCTTACCCACAACAAGCAAAAAGGTACAAACTTTCCTGCATCCTT